GATACATGGATTACTCTCTGGTCTAGGAAAAGAGTATGAGTCTGTCACTACTGTTATTGAACACTCTATGGATTCAACACCTGGTCCTTGTTATGAAGATGTTGTCTTCAAAGTTATTGCTTTTGATGACAAGCTAAAAGCTTACTCGAGTGCTGCAACTGTTACGCCTCATCTGGCCTTTCAAGCTGAAAAGAGCTACTTTGACAGAGGTGGTTCCAACTCTAGGGGCGGTAGATCTGGTTCTGGCGGTAGTTACAGAGGAAGAAACAACTACTCCACTAGAGGTCGTGGCTTCCAACAACATGGCAGTGGTCAAAATAGTGGAACCTCTCGGCCTACTTGTCAAATATGTGGAAAGTTTGGTCATAGCGCTTTTAAATGTTACAACCGGTTCAATGAAGCTTTTCAACAGCCTGACTTACCTAGTGCTATGGCTGCTATGCGTGTTTCTAATGAAGAACAACATAACGGTAATGAGTGGCTTCCTGACAGTGGTTCCACTGCTCATATTACTAATACCACTGCAAACCTGCAACATACTCAGCCTTACCAAGGCCAAGATTCAGTGATGGTTGGGAATGGTGAATTTCTGCCTATTACTCATATTGGATCTGTTCCGCTTCAGACCTTGTCAGGTACATCTCTTCCTCTAAATGATGTGCTTGTTTGTCCAAATGTTACTAAATCTCTTCTGTCAGTTTCTAAGCTGTGTTCAGATTATCCTTGCTCCTTTAAATTTGACTCTGATGGTGTGCGTGTAAAGGACAAACATACCAAACAGCTCCTCACAATAGGAAGCATGACTAAGGATCACTATGTGCTGGAAAATCCTGCATTCACAGCCTTCTACTCTACAAGACAATTGACAGCAAGTGATGAAGTTTGGCACAAACGTTTAGGTCATCCAAGTGCAGAGATTCTCCAACTGCTCTCCTCTACAGAAGCCATATCAATAAATAAACGCACCACCAAGCTTTGTGAGTCCTGCAGACTTGGCAAGAGTGCCCAGCTTCCTTTTATTTCTTCTACTTTTGTAGCTAGTAAGCCTCTTGAGAGGTTACATTGTGATTTATGGGGACCTGCCCCAATCACTTCTACTCAAGGATTTAAATATTATGTCATCTTTATTGACAATTACTCTCGCTATTGTTGGTTTTATCCTTTGAAGAACAAGTCTGAATTCTACTCAGTTTTTCTTCTATTTCAAACATTTGTTGAGACTCAGTTAAATCAGAAAATCAAGATGTTTCAGTGTGATGGTGGTGGTGAATTTGTTAGCACTCAGTTTGTCACTCATCTTGCAAAGTGCGGCATCAAGCAATTAATCTCATGTCCTCATACGCCTCAACAAAATGGGTTAGCAGAGAGAAAGCACCGACACTTAACAGAATTGGGTCTCAGTATGATGTTCCAGAGCAAAGTTCCACAACACTACTGGGTTGAAGCCTTCTTTACTGCCAATTATTTGAGTAATCTCCTTCCTACCTCTGTTCATCATCCTTCTAAAAGTCCCTATGAAGCACTATTTGAACAGAAACCTGATTATTCAGCCTTAAGAGTTTTTGGCAGTGCATGTTATCCTACACTTCGTGCTTATGGAGTAAATAAATTTGATCCTAAGTCCCTAAAGTGTGTATTTCTTGGTTACAATGAAAAATACAAAGGATATCGCTGCATTTATCCTCCTACTGGTCGAGTTTACATTAGTAGACATGTTCTTTTTGATGAACACTACTACCCCTTTGCACATGAATATTCTACATTACTTCCTACAGCCACAACAAAACTTCTCTCAGCCTGGCAACAAAGCTTCTTGTCTCCATGGATTCCCAACAATATAGCTTCGGTTCAGCAAAAGTATACTGTCACAGAGGGTCGCCAAACTGGAAATATAGAACCAGCAACTACAGGACCTGCAATTCCAGAACCTGCAACTGCTGAACCTGCAAATGCTGAACCTGCAATTTCAGAACCTGCAATTCCAGAACCTGCAATTCCAGAACCTGCAATTTCAGAATCTGATAATGACGCTGCTCCACTGGTTGCAGAAAATGATTTTCCTCCACTTCAAGCTCCTGTTATAAATGATCATACTATGATCACAAGAGGCAAAGACGGAGTACGAAAGCCTAATCCCAAATATGCATTGCATATCACTCACACCACTGTTAAGGAACCCAAAACAGTTGCTTCTGCTCTGAAACATCCAGGTTGGACAGCAGCTATGATAGAAGAAATTGATACATTTGTTGAAACAAAAACGTTTTCACTTGTCCCATATCAGCCAGACATGAACATTCTTGGTTCTCGCTGGGTGTTCAAAACAAAACTCCAAGCCGATGGTAGTTTGGATAAACTAAGAGCTCGTCTTGTCGCCAAAGGTTATGATCAAGAAGAAGGTGTTGATTTCCTAGAAACCTATAGCCCTGTTGTTAGAACAGCCACAGTTCGTCTTGTTTTACATGCTGCCACGGTTCACAAATGGGACATCAAACAACTGGATGTTAAAAACGCCTTTTTACATGGTGATTTGACAGAAACAGTTTATATGCATCAACCTCCCGGGTTTCTTGATAGTCAAAATCCAGAACATGTTTGGAAACTTCACAAAGCTGTTTATGGCTTAAAACAAGCGCCTAGAGCCTGGTTTAACAAATTCAGCACTTTTCTTCTGCAGTTTGGTTTTGAATGCAGTCTTAAAGATCCATCTCTCTTTGTGTACTACAAAGGCAATGATATCATCATCCTTCTGCTCTATGTTGATGATATGGTATTGACAGGAAGCAATTCAGAGTTAATTACTAAGCTTCTGCAGTCTCTCCATCAAGAATTTCGTATGAAAGATATGGGGAAGTTAAGTTATTTTCTTGGGATACAAGCTCACTATCATTCTGCAGGCCTATTCCTCAACCAACATAAGTATGCAGAGGATATGCTTATAGCTGCAGGTATGACTGACTGCGCTCCAGCACCTACTCCGTTACCTTTAGAACTTCAGAAAGTTAAAGGTCAAGATGAAAAATTTGACCAGCCAACATTTTTCAGAAGCCTAGCTGGTAAACTGCAATATCTCACCCTTACAAGACCAGACATACAATTTGCAGTCAACCTGGTTTGTCAAAAAATGCATTCGCCTACTATTGCTGATTTCAGTCTTCTCAAGCGGATTATTCGCTACATCAAAGGTACAATTGATTATGGAATCTCCTTTACTCATGATACAGATTTCACATTAAGAGCATACAGTGATAGCGATTGGGCTGGCTGTCAAACTACTAGCCGCTCTACTGGTGGTTTCTGTACATTCCTTGGCACAAACATAATCTCCTGGTCTGCTAAGCGCCAGCCAACCGTGTCTAGAAGTTCAACTGAAGCTGAGTATCGCTGTCTTTCGGATACTGCAGCAGAGGTCACTTGGCTAAAGGATTTGCTAGAAAACATTGGTATGCCTATTTCTCAACCACCTGAACTATACTGTGATAACTTGTCTGCTGTGTATCTCTCAGCAAACCCTGCTCTGCATAAAAAGTCGAAGCACTTCAAGACTCACTACCACTATGTTCGGGAACAAGTTGCAGAAGGCATTCTTACAGTCTATCATATTCACGCAGTGCACCAACTGGCTGATATATTCACCAAGTCACTGCCAATTCCAGCCTTCAATGATCTCAGGTACAAACTTGGTGTGGTCTCACCACCCACCCAAAGTTTGAGGGGGGATGTAAAGGATGTCAAAGCCTTGGTCCATCAAGAAATTAAAGAAAAATCAGTGGGCTTTGCCAACCAAATAATGCCCACTGCAATATCACACAACAAAACTTCTGCAACCTCTAACGGTCACAAAAACGTATCAATACACACGCCATGTGCTCTCCGTACAGTCAAACTTCAGAACAGATTTGAAGTTCTCGGATCTCCCATTCACTGCAGATGATGACACTTGTCAACAATCAACATAACCTTTGTAATCTATAGCTTTGGGCTATATATAGACAATGTGGTGTAAGAAGAAAAGATAAGAATAAAGTTATCTCTTTGAGCCTCTCTTCTCTGTATTATCTAGGGTTTTAGCTCTTACTTTCATATGATACGGCCCATTTGAATCGGCCTAAGTGAAAAACCATATATTTTAGTGGACTGCCCCGATCCGTATAAATGTAAATGAGATGGTGAAGAAGAAACAACTCCTAGAGTTGGGATATCGGATATTTTATCAAATTAAACACAATGATCAAACATTCAACCCATTCATCATCACTCAGATCGTATAAATATTTGGAATAATTCTTTAAAAGCATCTAAAATTAAATTAAACAAGACAAAAAGTATCTTTAACAAAGGAGAAAAAAGCATCTAAATTAAAAATATAAGAATGAACTTGTTTAAAGAAAAGTAGTGACCGTTATTTTGTAGTGTTCAATAAATGATCCTAATACAAATGAAACTTAGTGCATGCCAACGTAACAAAATATGCTAATCACGTTTTGGGTTTATAAATAGAGAGTGCCTTGTTTTGGCATATAAACATTTTTCGAGTTTACAATAACAGAGAGAGACAGGAGAACGTGTTAGATTGTGACCTGCGTGTGTTTAGAGTTATCTTGCTTTGTTGTGTTGTCGTGCATGTTCGAGGCATGTGACATGCATTCTAGTTCACACAACTTGTATTTGTATCGGTCAATTGAAAACAGGTTACACTTGTAAAAAAATCTCAAATATTCAAAGGTTAAGTCTCTACAATAACCGGTTTTTATTATTTCCAGAAATAGACCATCAAGAAAGATCAGTAAAAGCAGTAGAAGAATTCGAATCGGAGCCGTCGTGGTTACAGACAATGTCGTCGGTTAGGGCACTTCCGTCATTACAGCTTTACTAAGATAGTTTCTCTCCTCCATTAATGTCCCAATCATATCATTCAATTATCATCTGAGAATTAAAAAAAAATATAAATATTTATTTTGAAAATATAAAACAAATAAATTATCTGAAACATCTCTCTCTCTCTCTCCATTTCTTCTTTAGGCTTCCAGGCGAACCCAAAATTTGGTTTTTTGAAAAACCTTTCTTTTCAAAGAATTTCAAAAATCGTCTCTTGGAGGGATCCGATTGATGGAATTGGTCCCGTACGACTCGGAGACGAAACCTTCGATCCCCACGAATCTCGCGTGGCAAGAGATGTTTCGTTCCGCTTCTTCCCGTAAACCTCAAGACCCTCCGTCTTCTTCTTCTTCTACTTCATCGGAGCCGAAGCCTCCCTGCGATGGAGGCAAGACATCTCTATCAGCCGTTGATTCACAAGCCCGTCTCGCTATTTACATAGCAATGGCTCACGCTGGTCTCGTTTTCGCCATTTGTGTTCTCTATTTCGTCGGGAGGCTATTGCAAGAGTATCTTAGACCGATTCAATGGGCGATTCTTTGTTCGATCCCCTTGAGAGGTATTCAAGAAACCCTTGTTGATTTCTGGAGCGAGCCTTTGAAATTAGGGTTGACGGAAGTTGTTCTTGCGGTTCCCGTCTCTGTCTTCAACGTCTTCATCGGCTCGATTGTGGATATTAAAAATGTATGCTTTAGGGTTTTTCTAAGGAGATCGAAACCTAAGAGGACGAGGAAGAAGAGCGATACTGGGTTTTCGAAACTGGTTAAATGGTTGGTCTCTTTTGGTGTGTTTGTGATTGCTTACGAGAGGATTGGGGGAATTGGGTCTCTTGTGATCCTCTCTTTAGGTTTCTTGTTCAGTTCCAAGAATGTCGATTCCAGTCTATCTGCGGTTTCCTCTCTCAGGAGTAACAGTTTCAGGAGAAGCCATTTCACTGCGTATTTCACTAGAGGGATAATGACCAGATTGAACACTATTGTTGCTATTGGTTTGATTGTGCTTATGATTGTTGGATCCTTGACTGGTGTCATCTTCTTCTCCTATAAGATCGGTGTTGAAGGGAAAGACGCTGTTTATTCTCTCAAGTCTCATGTCGAAGAGAGCAATTACGCTGAGAAGATTGGGATCAAGCAATGGATGGATGAGAATGATGTTCCAGGAATGGTAGATATGTACACAACCAAGTTTTATGAAACTGTTTCTGAGCAGATTGATAGTTTGGCAATGCAGTATAATATGACGGAATTAGTCACAGGGATTAAGCATTTCGTGATTGGGCATCCTCAGAACACGTCAACGCCATCCACTGCGCTTATAGCTCCGTCTCCTTATACAGAGAAGCTCATGAGTTTGAGGACTCGGGTTAAGAACAAAGAATGGAGTCAGATATATTCAGAGGTTGATGTGATTTTCAGGGAGCTTATTATCACAAGAGAAGATTTGGTAGAGAAAGCTAAAGGCTTTGCTGTTAAAGGAATGGATGTATCGCAGCGGGTTTTCTCAAGCAGTGCATCTGTTGTTGGAGGCGGTGCTAAGTTCGTTCTCTCTATAGGAACCTCGATAATCTGGGGAGCAACCGAGTTCTTTAACTTTGTCTCTCAGCTGATGGTTTTCATTTGGGTTTTATACGTTCTAATCACATCTGAATCAGGTGGTGTTACTGAGCAAGTCATGAACATGCTCCCTATCAGCCCAAGCGCTAGAAACAGATGCGTTGAAGTCCTAGACTTAGCGATCTCTGGAGTTCTATTAGCAACAGCAGAACTCGCCTTCTTCCAAGGATGTCTCACCTGGCTATTGTTTAGACTATACAATATACATTTCCTTTACATGTCGACTGTTCTCGCCTTCATCAGCGCTCTGTTACCGATTTTCCCATACTGGTTCGCCACAATCCCAGCGGCATTGCAGCTCGTGCTAGAAGGAAGATACATTGTTGCCGTGACATTATCTGTGACTCATCTTGTGTTAATGGAGTATGGTGCCTCGGAGATTCAAGATGACATTCCAGGGTCTAATGCTTACCTTACTGGACTAAGCATTATTGGTGGAGTGACTCTGTTTCCTTCTGCTCTCGAGGTAACAAAATAAAAAGATTGGATTTTAGTGATTTTGCAACAAAAATTTGGCGATTTAGTAATGTTCTTTGCTGTTGTTGTTGCAGGGAGCGATAATGGGACCGTTGATCACGACAGTGGTGATTGCTTTGAAAGATCTGTATGCAGAATTTGTTCTGAATGATCCGAAGAAGATCAACTAGTTGTTATTGGCTTCGTTGATAGGAGCCTTCAAGTGCTTCTGCCATGGCTGGTGCTGCTTTGTATTGGAAGAAGAATCATGTAGATTAGTAGAGAGTGTGAGAGACTGAAGTGTTTTTTTGTTTGTTTGTTTTGGGATTGTAATTTTTTTTAGTGTGGAGAGAAATGTGTAGCAGAAAATTTCAAAATGTTGTTGTTGTCTCCTCTTGTATTGGAATGAGTTCTGATTCTTTTTGGGAAACCGTGTAAATGTTTGTTTTTCTAGTTCAACTTTTTTCTTCTGTCTCGATTTAAAAATTTAGGTTGGATAAACTGCTAAATGTAGAATTGAGCTGACGTGAATAAAATTGTGATTGAGTTGAATACTTGAATTAGAATTTGAGATGATGGAAATGTTATAACTTAGATACGTATTTTACTGTACACATATATGGTAAAAACATTGTAATGAAATGTAGTATTTATGATGTACATACTAATTACTAATTCGGATTAAAAATGGATTCATATATATTATTAATAAACATCAGATTAACCGGTGAAGAGGGCTTAAAGCCCAATCAAACCCTGGCACTAGCAGCTTGTACAAAAGAAATGATGTTATTATAACACGGTTATGGGATGGCTCAAAGCCCAATCAAAATACGTGGATGTATTGTTTAAGTTTAACTTTTTTTTTTTTTTTTGTCATCATTTAAGTTTAACTATACAAATCTAAAAACCATCCCCTATATTAGTAGAAAACAACAACAAACATTATGTTGTAACATATAGTCTTTTAGAATTAGAAATTGTCGTAGTATCAAAATATAATAATAAACACGGTTAAGTTTAAGTGATGTCGGAAGTATAATGACAGCAAAATAAGCGAGTCAGAGAGCCGTGTTAATGTGACACACAAAACTGATAATGCGATTTCTCAAGCTACTAAATTAATCCACGTTTCTTCTTTTGTGGTACACTCGTGTGAAGGAAGCCACGTGTCAGGATATGATGTTTGGTTTTTGGACTTTTCTTTATCTTCCAAAAATAAATAATTGTTTATTGGGTCAAAGGAATTTTATCTTGTCAAGTAACTCATGTTCGTTAAGTTTATATTGCCATTGGTTCCTGAATTGTCGTCGACGTCTCGACGAGGCCGACATATGTATGCCAAAGACATGGACCTTTAAAATAATTTCATGATTATGAAATGACATTTTTAGTTAAGTTTATCCTATTTTCCTACGTGTAGATCAAAGAGACTATAACAACTATACATAATTTTATTTACTAGTGCGTTTAGTTGTTAATTACACAAGTACATAATGAGGTGTATTAAGACGAATCCAGAAACGTATAATTAGTATAGGTAAGAATTACAATTTTGTAAGAATAAAGTTAACAATTAACAGACTTTGGAATTTTGTGTTGTCAGTGTCACCTGTTGATACTTACTATTTTAAGAGATATACCATATGCTCATAGGTCCATGGCAAATCTATATCATTATTTCCAATCTCGGAAATTTCAAACTTATTATAGTTAACGATTTATATGTGAATGCAGAATCTAAAAGTTTATAAAAGTAAATATTCTAAATAGCAACCAGAAAAGATGAAATGTCAAAGCCCCCGATCAATATAAGAGCATGCATAATTGACCAAAGACCTCCGACATCAATTGAAAGTTCTAGAAATTTTGTATTATTTGTAAATTTCATTTCATTTCCAATTTGATCTTTTTTATTTTGTCAAACCATTTCCAAATTGGTTTATTAGCAATGTGTCTCGAGTCTTGATCACTATATTATAATCGGACAAAAACAAATTAAAAAAGGAATAGAGAGAGAGAGAGTCACACAACGTGGAAAAGGAGAGAAAAGGGGACTACACAACGACGACGTATATAGTAGAGAGAGAGAGAGAGATGATGATGATTGAAACTCTTCTGGTTGAGATTAGTTAGCCAACCCAACTCCTTCCATTACCATCTCCCATGTTGATTTATTACGTACCCGCCATTTTTTTTTTTTTGGTTCTATTTCGGTTGCCAAAATTATTAATCTTTATGCATTTTTTAATTTAATTTTTCTGTTAATATTTATTTATTTTTATTCATTCCTACGACCAGCTAATTTTGGTTCTTTTTAATACATACTCTTTTTATACTTTTGGACCTATACAGATACTTCTCAAAACAATTAAACAAAAAGTAAACTATACATGGTCCATCAATAAAACATTTTATAACTTTCATAATTTTGTTTGATATTTTTTTTAAAAAAAAATTGGTTTATCTAATCATTTACTTATATGTAAATCCATAGGGAAGATAAAAAGATGGTTTCCAATATTACTATATATGGAAAATAATCCATTACAAAAAAAATATAACAAGATTTTTTTCTGTTAGAACAGAAAAGATAGTGATGTAAATGAATTAAAATTGATGACTTCATTGAGATATGTTCTTATTCTTATCCATTTCTCCTTTTTTGCATAAAAGATTATATAATAATAAATACCCAAAGCTAGAATTGAAATATCTCTCTTTTACCTTTGCTTACAATTCTAAAGAGAGGTCAGAAGGAAGGGTCTGCTTTGGCGGTTGGAACCAAACAGTTGCTATCTCTCTACAAACAAAAAAAACATTGCTTCATTTACAAAAATCGATCTCAGGTGTTAGATTAGGCCAACGGTTCTCTTTTTATTATCTCCTTCTTCTTCTTCTCCTTCTCCTTCTCGTTGATTCTTCAAACCAAAGCCATAAAACTAAAAAATTATAAAGATTCCTTTTTTATGGTTTGATTCTTGGTCGCCATCTTTCGCCCAACTTCCTCACCTTCTCTGACATAATCACTACACCTTCTTCTCCTTCTCCCTATAATTACAAACGTCATCTTCCTCCAAAGTTGTTTCATTTCACTCCCAAATTTTAAAAAAAATTGTTGCTTTTTTTTTTCTTCTTCTTCTGTTCGTGGGTTTTTGAATTTCGATTACAAATACTTAGATTCCTTGTTTTTCGTGGGCAATTCAAATCGAGGAGTTCGTGTACGCAGCTGAGTTTTGCCCTTTTGATGGTTGTAGTTGCAGATAAGGTATTTGATTATATTCCTCACTGAATTTTCAATTTTTCATGTGTCTTTTTTGGTTATTGTTGGGCAATGAAAATTTCGTGACTTTTTTTTTTCTTTTTGATTTATTTTTCATGTGTGATTCATGATCTTTTCGTTTTTATAGTTACGGTTCCATGTACGTGCTTATTACTTATAAAACAACTTTCAGAATTTTTGATTCTCTCCATGCCATCTTTTTTTCTTAGGTCTGAAAAAATCTTGAAAGCTTGGTAAACGTTCCGATGAATACACGTTACTCCGGTCAGCCTGAGTTATCTTCTAGTAACATTTCGATCACTATTTCATCGTCTACGTCGTTAAACTCCACACCTCGTGGTAATAGCAGTCATGTTACTTCTGGTAATAATGATCAAGAGAGGTCTCCATCTTCGTTTTACATAAGGTTGGCTATGAAGGTGTCTAGAGCTAGGTGGTTCATCTTCTTGAGAAGAGTGTTTCACTACCAGAACGGTTCAAGATCCGATCTTGGCTCTAATCCTTTCAATTCCAGTACTTGGATGATGTCTGAGCTCGTTGCTCTGCTTCTTCAGCTCACTGTGATAACGTTCACACTAGCTATCTCCAAAGAAGAGAGACCTATTTGGCCTGTTAGGCTATGGATTACGGGTTACGATGTGGGATGCCTTCTGAATCTCATGCTGTTATATGGTCGGTATCGTCAACTAGATGCTGTCCTCGGCGATGTTGAGCAGCAACAGAGAGGCAGAGAAGAAACAAGGTAACTCCCAAACTCTTATCTTTTGTTGATTCTGAATCCGACAAGATCCTGAATTTGCACACTGATATTTCCAACTGTTGTTTTTTTCAGGTCTTCTCATTTGATGAACAAATGCAGAACGTCGTTGGAGCTTTTCTTTGCGATTTGGTTTGTGATTGGGAATGTTTGGGTGTTTGATTCTAGATTTGGTTCTTTCCACCATGCTCCCAAGCTTCATGTCCTCTGCGTCTCTCTTCTAGGTTGGAATGCTATCTGCTATTCCTTTCCATTTCTTCTCTTCCTCTTCCTCTGTTGCCTTGTCCCTCTCATAAGTAGCCTCCTTGGATATAATATGAACATGGGATCCTCAGAGAGAGGAGCATCAGATGACCAAATCTCTAGTCTCCCTTGTTGGAAATACAAACGAATCGACAAAAATGCTTCTGATTCTGATTCAGATTCAGCTACTGTAACCGATGATCCAGTAAGTCCTAATCCTTTTCCTAAAAATTCAAGCCAAATCCTTGAATCTTATTCGGACTAGATTTTGACATTTGATTTGGTTTTTTGCAGGAGTGTTGTATATGTTTGGCAAAGTATAAAGACAAAGAAGAAGTAAGGAAGCTTCCATGCTCACATAAGTTCCACTCAAAGTGTGTAGATCAATGGCTTCGTATAATCTCCTGTTGTCCTCTCTGCAAACAAGATCTTCCAAGGTGACAATGCAAAAAACTCCAAAAGCAGACAAAAGCTTAAGAGTCAACAAAAATATCTCATTAAGTTCAATACTTTTTTTTTTTTTTTTTTTTCTTTCAAAGGCTTAGGTTTTTCTTTCATGATTTTGGTTTGAAGCAAGTCGGTTACTTGTGTGAGTGTCAGATTTTTTTGTACAGAAAGAGCTCACCAGTAATCGTAAATTACATTGTGAGTAAGTGATGCAAATCACAATGGCAAAAGAACATTTATAGAATCATTAATATAGTGTCTATACTACTTCATATCATTTTTACCCTCATGTCTTATTTACATGTCTTGAGATATCTTTTAATGTTTCATATAATGTTTAAACAAAGCCATCTAAATAGTCTTAGATGGTTTTGACATCAACTATCTAAGTTTGGATTTTGAGCCGAACCTAAAATAGACACAAACCAAACAAAACAATCGGATGTGTTTTTATTTTGGGGATACAAGATCTTTAAATTAGACTGTTCTGGATTCTCAACTAGAACTAACACAACTATTTAATAAACAAAATTTGGTTTATTCATAGTATGTTCCTAACAATTCATAACATTTTTACCTATTGCACACATGTGTAACTATAAAAAGAAGAATATACCCTCCTAATTCATTTATTTTCACTAAAAAAATTGTTCTGAATAATTTTCTAGAATACTAACCACCAATGACTTAAAAAAAGCAGTTTGTCAACAGCATTCAAAGGCTATTTTTAGTTACCTTCTCACACAAGTCACCATTATAAAAGACCTGTTGATTCATTCATTCATTCCCAAGAAAACTCAACACTCCCGAAAAAACAAAAACTCATTTCTTTACGTTCATCAAAACCATGGCACAAGAGAACCCTTCAAGACCCCTAGTTCTTGGACAATGTACAGCAGAGGAAAAGTACTCCACAAGTTTAGCCAAGATCATCAACCCAAAGCCTTGTGGATCGATCACGAAACAGAGCCAGGACCAAAACTCACCGAGTTTACGCCGTTGGGGATCGTCGTCCTCAGGTAAACCAGCGGCGAGGCAGAACTGTCTATGTTCTCCGACGACACACGCCGGTTCTTTCAGGTGCAGGCACCACCGCGTTGATGATTCATTGACGCGTGTCGGCTCTGTTGGGTCGAATCTCGCGGTGCTATTATCATCATCCAAGTCAAGCCGGTTTAGTAACTCCCTCAAGGCTCAGTAACATATATATATAACCCGGTTATTGTATTTTGTATCGGTAATACTAATTATCGGTATTGTTCGTATGTTTTTTTTTTTTTGCTGTTGACATATTTGTTAATTACAATAATGTATACTAAACCGAATCAATGTAAACTTTATCTAATTTCACTGATTTGATTAAAATTCTCCAATACTTCAATAGATTAGATCGATACTATATGAGTAAAGTCGGACACAAATGTACGACCACAAATGTGAAAGACAAATGATATCCGGTTCAATTCAGGGCGACTACTACGTAACCGGGAATAAGAACCGTATTAGAAATAAACGACGTCGTTTGACTGTGAGTCACTCAGAGTCTCACGCTGACAACTGTGTTTAGTGGATTGATCAAAGGATAGAGCCTAATTAAATAATAAATGAAAATATTATTGGTTTCCTTTTCTTTGAGACATTTTAAAAAGATTTTTTTTTTTTTTTCTTTTTCTTTCAGGTTTTTAATTTGTTTTACAGCTCTCATTACCTCCACCTTTCTCGCACAGCTTCAACCACCAGAGCCGACTTCAGATTTTTGAGAGAGTATCATCAAATCAACGTTAATCGGGTAAAAGATCTTATTTTTTCCTTTTATTTGCAAATCCAAGAGAACCAAATTCATCTAACTGGTTTTGAATTGAACTTACACACCGAAGTTGAATCTGCGATGTTTTGATTTGAATCCATTTATGCAAAAATCGATCTAGATCGGTGTTTTGTCTCGGTTTAGCTGATTACGACGTCCTAGGATTGTGCTGTAATCCGTGAGATTTCATCATCTATCAACTCGCAAATTGTGATTCCCGATTGATTGATTATTAAGTTGTGTGTTTTTGATTGAGAATAGAACCATTCGTTTACATCCATTATTGAAGGAAGATAAAGGTATTGATTAATCCTTTGATTAGTATTTAGATTGTGCATTAGTGTATTTCTTATCTTCAATATTTTGTCCAAGGATATTATTATGTGGACATAAGTAATCATCAATCATGACAATGACTTTACTTTTCTAGTTTTTGTATGTTCCTTTATTGACTATATAGATAGATTACAATACATTATGATTCTTGTTCTGATCCTTGTCTGAGCAATTTTGTCTAGTTGCGTTACATAATATCTCTTTTTGCTTGCTGTGAGAAGCCAAAGATCTAATAAGTGAATTTCATTTCTATATGCAGCTTTGCCCTTAACAGATCATAGCATAGCTCCCGCGTTTTCTTCAGACGAATTAGGAAATGGTTGGAAGGTAATTTATTGTAGTGTTTGCTTCTGTAGAGTGTTTTGGAGAAATGTTTCTCACTGTTTGTTAGTTTTGTTTGTAGGCATGGAGAGTTTTGATTTGCGTCTTAAGATATCATGTCGCAGTGCGTTGATGGTTTCAAGCATTTATGCACCTCTGTTTTAGGGTGTTTTGATCTTGATTTGTATAAACAGTCTGGTGGCCTTGGAGACCCTGAGTTGCTTGCAAGAGACACTGTTTGTATGCCTTTCATCTTCTCTAATCAACTTGCATCCCTTTCATTTATTTTTATTGTGAGTTATGATGGTTGAATCTTGTTTGGGTGCAGTTAGTGTGAGTGAAATAGAAGCTCTTTATGAGCTCTTTAAGAAAATCAGCAGTGCCGTCATTGATGATGGGCTAATAAACAAGGTAAAGCTAGCTTGTCTGATCTTGCTCATTAGTTAAAGCTTGAGTGATCTCACAATCTGTCTAATTACTCATCTCTTGCTAAACAATTTGTATCAGGAAGAGTTTCAGTTGGCTTTGTTTAAGACAAATAAAAAAGAGAGCTTGTTTGCAGATCGGGTAATGTTTTTTTCTTCGTTATAAATGCTCTTAAACTCTTTTTTGTGAAGATCAAGTTTAGAAGAACCGTTGAAATATGTGAATTGGCTTGTAGGTTTTTGATTTGTTCGATACAAAGCACAATGGAATACTCGGGTTTGAGGAGTTTGCCCGTGCTCTCTCCGTGTTTCACCCAAATGCACCTATAGATGACAAAATCCACTGTATGTCTTAATAACTTGAAGTAACGAAAATCCCCATTAATTTGGTTTCATACTCATCATGGTATATATATATATTGCTTTTGCAGTTTCATTTCAGCTATATGATCTTAAACAGCAAGGGTTCATCGAACGGCAAGAGGTAAAGCTTCCATATCTTCTTCATTAATAACCTTGTAAAAGTGCACTTTTATCATCCCCAGTGACATTTTCGTCAATCATCTGTACAGGTGAAACAAATGGTTGTAGCTACGCTTGCTGAATCTGGAATGAATTTGAAGGATACTGTTATAGAGGATATAATCGACAAGGTAAGTTACTTACTTTTTTCCTCTTCTCCCAATATGTTTTCTTTAAAATTAATTTCCTGAGTTTTGATTGCTCAGACGTTTGAGGAAGCAGACACAAAACATGATGGAAAGATCGATAAGGAAGAGTGGAGAAGCCTTGTTCTTAGACATCCCAGCCTTCTGAAGAACATGACTCTTCAGTATCTCAAGTAAGTTTCAAATCTTTGTAATTATGTACCCCTGGGATTGAATTAAATTGCTTCTTTAGTTTTGTTTTCTTCTCATTCTCTATGATATGTAGTGGAGATCGTGATCTTATTTTTATGCGTGCTTGCAGGGATATCACAACTACATTTCCAAGCTTTGTGTTCCATTCTCAGGTTGAAGATACCTGAGAAAAACAAAAACAAGCAGCAAGACATTGTTGTACTGTTGAAGGTTGTTCTTTCGTTATGGTTTTTGACTTCTTTCATCTCTAAATCTCTAAATCTCTAAATCTCTGAACTCATTTATTCTTTATGGAACTTTTTTTGTGAAGCAAAATTCCCTTCTTTGTCCTTTTTTGGATTTCGGTCGGCCTATCTGTAGATACAACTTTTGCATGTTGACCTTATGATATGTAAAGTTTTTTTAAAGTTTATTAATCCAAGTAAAAAGATTTGCTTCAACACTCTGTTTATTAATTGTATGTTTTGGTTATGATCCAAAACCAATCTAGAAGAGAGACACAATATCAGCATATATGGAATGGAGGTTGACCAACATTGAATTCCCAAAGTAAGTGTCATCCAGAGGTTGTTAATAAAGAGAGTGTTGAGAAATCTTGGAAAGTAACTAAGAAACGAAAGGCCGAAGCAGTGATACCGAGGGTGATCGAGTTTTTGCAATATGCTTTTTCTTGACACTGATATTGTGCCACAGATCATTTCAGAGTCAAAGGAACACTAGACAAGGTTTTATCAAGGGACACCTCTAGAGAGGGTCACAGAACAAAGACTGAGCTCGGTGTACATAGCAACGAAAAGAGCTTGAGATCAGAAATATAGATTTGATCTTCGAATAGTTCTAAAAGAAAAGACAGACTTGCAATTCCCAGCTACTATATATAGATTGTACTGTCAATGGTTGTGAGCCAATCTAGACGGACCATTGCTGAGTCGTCGACATCCAAGACTTGGACTCTGTTAGAGGAGGACATGCCGGGAAAGGAGCTAGCAGGGACACAGAAAGGTTGAGACTTTTGAGAGGAAAATGACGAGATCTCTCCTATGTCTCGAGTGCAAACAGCATTTCCGTGCTCATCTAAGCTTAAACACCATTAAACCCTCAACCCTTGATGATCTTGGGATATCCACAAATATTAAACACCATCTAGCTTGCATTTCCTTCCTCATCTAGCTTAAACACCATTAGACACACTCGGTTTCAAAACCTTTTACATTTCTTACCTTTTCAAATGCTAAATATTTTTCTGGTTTCATCTACAATCTCCTCTGCATTCTCAGAGGTGTGAAATGAATTGATCGATGAAGAAGAGTTGAATAGCCTAATTGTTCCTAGACTTAAAGACATCCCAGCCTTTATCTTTCACTTTTCAGCAAATTTCCAAATTACATAATGTATAGAAGTAAACTGTGGAGTAAAATAAATAAATCTTTGAAGAAATAGAATACAGTAATTCTTACTAAAAACTGAACTGGTTGAGAAATTAGAAGAAGAGAGCTTGAGATTATAAAACTAGCAGTTAATAAAGTAACTCTGATGTTGATCCACTGAGAGTTACTTTGAGCCGGTCTGCAAAAGCTTATTTGAGGTCCCAAGAACTTGACAGCTACAACACACGAGGAGGACATGGCCACGTTGGTGACGATTTGGGTTTGGCAACGAGCAAGAGTTTCGAGAGGAGGCAGGGAAATGTGTTTCGGATCTGTATCCGGGTTTAGATCCACCATGCCCTCCTTCATTGGATAATCCAATCGTTCCCATTTTCTCAAGAGTCATCTTCTTTTTCCAGAGGAGTGATCTCACCAGCCCTCTGAATCACGAGTTTTCCGAGATCTGCTCCACAACGATGATCAACGTATATGATGACAGAAGGTGGATTTTGCGGCAAAGAAGATGAGACGCCATTAGAGGAGAGAAGAGGAGATGATGATCTTACCACCACAGGTTTCCGAAAGCAGAGCTTCGAGGGATTGTTGACAAGTAGAGACATGAATAAATGAATGTTCTTTAGCCCTAATTGAAGAATTAATACACAAAGGAAGTGACTTGCTCACCAAGTTTCTCATTTTCAAATTGATGATTATAAATATTTTTCTTTACCATAAGTACGTTTCATTTACCTTTCATTCTGGTTACGTTTCTTATTATCTTGACTGTGACAAAATTTTAGCAGTAATTCATTATTTTTTATAGTGAATTTATAAATAGACATTATAAATTTATAAATAGACATGATCATTAGATCCCGAGGAGACACTAGACTTCATACTAATTGTAATTTTGTTCAGAAGCGATCAGTTTTAACAGCTTCTCAAATCTCCACAAGTAAATTTATTGAGAATTATTTACCATATTGTAATTTCTTCTTACCAAAAAAAAAATCATTGTATTTCTATATAAGAAAGAAAATCAAAATACATTACAAAGGTGTGGATGTAAATCATTGTAATTTCTTAAATACCCACACTATTGCATGAAATCAACTGTAACCTCATTATAACTAGTCTTAGTAACAACAATTTTCGACTTTACTTGATTTTATTTAATTATTATCATTTCTTTCATTACTTTAGATTTATTAAAGGTGTAGATTTTTTTTTTTTTTTTTTTTTTTTTTTTTTTTTTTTAACATCGTAGAAGTTTTTTTTATTTTGGAGAAAATAAAGATTTATTGTTTGGGAAAAGGCAGAAAATAATAATAAAACGTTTTAGTCAAAACGGTTTGAGTGAAAAAAATCCTTACATCTCTATATCATTGAGGTAATAGAGTATGGGGTAGCTTATGATCAAAATGGAACTTGGTTCAGACTTCAGAGTAATCAGACTTAAAGTTATTTCCATTTTTCATCATAAAAAGATTTCCCAGTTCAGTTTTATATTCTCTCAGGGTTGTTCTCCTCGCTGACCACCAAAAGCCTTTATTTTTCTTCTCCTCACCCATCATTGGCCTCCTATGCTATGTTCTCCTCTGTAAGTAAATGTATTGCTGTTATCTCAATGTAGTTTAGATGTACATAATGCCTTATTCATATTTACAATTTTCTGAATCTCATTGTAAATTGTGTCTCTCATGACATCTAATCGATATTATTCAATGTTGTTGTCTGAGATGCTTTAGCGATGTGTTAGAAACTTTTGGAGCCGCTTCAATCATATGCTAGCTATCAAAATATTATCATAGTTAGGTTACTATCGAGTTTTTGTTATAAAAACGACAGAAAAAAAAAGATTACTAAAAAGAGAAACAAATAAAAAACCCCAAAAAGTCTTCTCGACACCGCCAATATTTTTAGTCAACTTCCTCCATCTTGCTACCTTCGGCATCAGCATCATCTTCAAGAGGAGGCATCTCAGCATCGGCTTCAACGGCATCATCCTCGTCGATGCTCAGTCCAAGCTTCAACATCCTGTGGATTCTGTTTCCAAATGTGTTGGGCTCATCGAGGCTGAAACCTGAAGTGAGAAGAGCGGTCTCAAAGAGGAGAAGAACAAGGTCCTTCACAGACTTGTCGTTCTTGTCCGCTTCAGCTCTCTTTCTCAGCTCATTCATGATGGAGTTCTCAGGGTTAATCTCCATTGTCTTCTTGCTCGACATGTAACTACCCGTGCTGCTATCCCTCAAAGCTTGAGCTTTCATGATCCTCTCCATGTTAGCGGTCCACCCATACTCACCGGTCACAAGACAGCAGGGTGAGTCCACCACACGGTCAGAGACGATAACCTTCTCCACCTTGTCTCCCAAGACGTCCTTAATCACTTTGCAGAGTCCCTCAAACTTCTCCTTGAGCTCCTCTTTCTTCTTCTTCTCGTCCTCGGTTTCTTCCAGTTTCAGACCTTCCTTGGTTGCAGAGACAAGCTTCTTCCCCTCGAATTCCTTGAGCTGACCAATGGAGTACTCATCAATCGCATCAACCATGTAGAGGACTTCGTAACCCTTCTTCTTGAGCTTCTCGAGGAATGGAGAGTTCTCAACAGCCTTTTTGCTCTCACCAGTAATGTAGAAGATATCGTTCTGACCTTCCTTCATCCTTGTCACATAGTCCTTCAGACTGGTCAACTCATCACCGCTCTTGGTTGAGTGGTAGCGGAGCAACTCAGCGATCTTTGTCCTGTTCTGTGAGTCCTCGTGGATACCAAGCTTCAGGTTCTTAGAGAAAGCCTCGTAGAACTTGTTGTAGTCCTCCTTGTTCTCAGCAATCTCAAAGAAGAGCTCAATGCACTTCTTCACAAGGTTCTTGCGGATGACCTTGAGGATCTTGTTCTGCTGCAACGTTTCCCTGGAGATGTTGAGAGGAAGATCTTCAGAGTCGACAATACCCTTGACAAATCCAAGGTACTCAGGAATGATGTCTTCACAGTTGTCCATGATGAAGACACGACGGACATAGAGCTTGATGTTGTTGGGCTTCTTCTTAGTGTCAAAGAGATCGAAAGGAGCTCTCTTGGGAACAAAGAGGATAGCTTTGAACTCAAGCTGTCCTTCTACGGAGAAATGCTTCACAGCCAAGTGCTCCTCCCAGTCATTGCTCAGACTCTTGTAGAAAGCAGCGTACTCCTCCTTGTTGATTTCCTCTGGCTTCCTCATCCAGATCGGTTTCTGCTTGTTCACCAAATCCCACTCATGAGAAACCTCCTTAATCTTCTTCTTTTTCTTCTCCTCCTTTTCTTTCTCCTCATGTACTTCCTCAACCTTGCCTTCCTCATCCTTCTTCTCTTCCTCCTCTTCATCATCAGAGATCTCCTTCTCAATGGTCTTCTCAACCCACAGTGAGATAGGGTAACTGATGAACTCAGAGTGCTTCTTGACCAAGTCCTTAAGCCTGCGCTCCTCAATGTACTCCATTTGGTCTTCCTTGAGGTAAAGGGTCATCTTGGTACCTCTACCAAGAGGCTCACCAGAGGTGTCTCTGGTAACAGTGAAAGACCCACCAGCCTGTGATTCCCAAACATACTGCTCATCGTCATTGTGTTTGGTTGTAACAACAACCTTGTCAGCAACCAAGTAAGCCGAGTAGAAACCAACACCAAACTGTCCAATCATGCTAACATCAGCACCAGCAGCCAAAGCCTCCATGAACTCCTTGGTACCAGATCTCGCAATTGTTCCAAGATTGTTTACCAAATCTGTACAATAGAACAAACACGCATTAGTCATCGCAATATAAAAAATAAAAGCACACACAGAGAGACAAAAAAAACCCAATACAAATCAATTACATACCAGCCTTAGTCATCCCGACACCACTATCAATGATGGTCAAGGTGTTGTTAGTCTTATCCGGAATGATATGAATGAAAAGCTCAGGCTGACCATCGAGCTTGCTCTTGTCCGTCAAGGACTCGAATCTAATCTTGTCCAAAGCCTATTTCACCAAAACAAAACACTAAATCGTAAGTAATAATTACACAGAACACATACAAATCTAACTAAATACAATCCGGAACTTGGTAAAATAACAAGAGATTGCTTAATCCTAATTTTAACCTAAATCTGTAGAGAGAACAGCTAAATCAATCCAAGAAGATGATAAACAAAGATAAAAAAAGAAGATAGCGAGAGATCGTACATCGGAGGAGTTACTGATGAGCTCACGGAGGAAGATCTCCTTGTTGGAGTAGAAAGTGTTGATGATAAGCGAGAGCAACTGGTTGATCTCAGCTTGGAAAGCAAATGTTTCTGCGTCCGCCATTATCGTAGATCGGAAAAAAATCAAAAAGCTAAGGGTTTATGAATCGGAATTGAGAGAAATAGCAAATCGTAAGAGAAGTATTGATGCTGAGATTAAGGGGGAGAAGTTGGTATATATATATAGGGATGTGGTGGATACCTTTCATAAGATATAATGGAAATAAAATAAAATACGAAATTGTCATAATCCCATTTGTAATTTTAGTTTCCTTTTCTTTTTCGGAACAGGTTTTCAATTTACATTTTTTTTTGTTTGTTATTTATTTCCTGTTAGCTAAACTAACCAATAGAAAAAGAATAATTTTTATATATGCAGACATATTGTTTATATTTGTTTTACTAAAATTCATTTAAAAAATGAGCTAAAAAAATTATGAAAAATATGAGTCAAATCTTAGAAACTATTTTTCTCTGTAAATTATTACAAAAAGAGAGTTGGGCATAATATTTAGAGCTTTGAAGTTTGAACTATCTCATGAATTTACAAGAGACAATGGAGTTTTTATTTCATTTGGTTTCTCAACAAATAAATATTAATACTAATAAGTTGTTATACATTTGGGGGAGGGGGGGGGGGGGTATAAAATGATGTTTAATTTCGTATATAAATTGTATGTTCTCTTGTTTTGGTTTATATGAGTCTACCAAATAATAATTAGTTATTTGACAAAAAAAATTAGTTGGTTCATCATAAAAGCGAAAAAATAAAAGTTTTTTTTAGATGTATTTGGTTTTAAGTTTGATTTTGAATTCGACTTTGCTGTATATTTGAATTTATATGTTATGTTTTGTCATGTGTTAGTAGTTTGAGGTCAATCTTAATTTTATGTTAGTTTTTGAATTCGATGATATTAAAGGTTTGATTATAAAATTTATATAGTCGAGTTATTCGATTTTATTTGCTTTTAATTAGATGGTGAGATATTCCAACTAATAAAAAACTATTAAACTTTAGTTATGAATTTTATTAAAATAAAATAATTAGTATCTTATTATAAAAAATAATAACCTAATCTATTTTTTTATAGATATGCTCTATTTTTTATGAATCTCCCCACAATAATCTAAAAATATGTGTTTTCTTCTTGTTCTTTTAAAAAAATAAATATTATCATGTTGTTGTTGATATTTTAATTTTTAATTTGAAAAAGATATATACTAATTTGGTAATTTGAAAACTGGAGATATGAAAGAGTTAGGTAAAAAAAAAAGAACAAAAGTTATAGAAAAATTAAAATACAGCAAAGTTATTTTATTTAATTTTTGGTTTTAAAAATAGTAAATTATCATCAACAACAAAAAAAAGGGTAAATTACCAAATTAATTAAAAGAAGATGTAAAACTACACCTGTTCTCAATTAAAATAAATATTATTAAGTAAAATACACCTGTTTTCCGAAAGAGATTAAAAAAAAAAGAAAAAAAAAGGAAATTTTGTATTTTGCATTTTGCTTAGCTACTTTAGTATTTTGCAGATTTACATTTAAAACTAGCAAATAAGCATTATTTTTACAAGTACATAGAAGGATCTAGAAAACCCTTGAAAGGAGACCGCTCACTATATATATATATATTAGAGATTTGCTTCTCCTCCTTAATCTCGCATCAATACTTCTCCCCAGCCCCCTCTCAAGTTTTTGTGTTCGTCTTTCGCTTTTGCTCTCAATTCCGATTCATAAAACCCTTAGCTCTTAGATTGTTTCTTTCAGATCAGTGACAATGGCGGACGCGGAAACCTTTGCTTTCCAAGCTGAGATCAACCAGTTGCTCTCGCTTATCATCAACACCTTCTACTCCAACAAGGAGATCTTCCTTCGTGAACTCATCAGTAACTCCTCGGATGTACGATCTCTCTCCCTCTCTCTCTCTCTTAATGTTTTTCTCATAGTTGAGCTACTTCGATTTGATTTAGTTGTAGATTTAAGTCTGATTAGGGTTTAGTGTTCTTGTGGATTGGAGTGTTTGAACTGATAATCTTAAGTGGAGCATGTGTTTATATTCAAATCTGTCGATTTAGGTTTAGTGTTTTTAAACCAAGGAAGGATTAAGCAGTCTATTTGTTTAGATTTTGGATTCAGCAGTCTATTTGTTTAGATTTTGGATTCAGCAGTCTATTGTGACTTTAACAAGTATAGTTAATTTCGCATATGTTCTGTGTAACTGGTTTCTAATTACGAGTACGCCATTTTGTTCTCTGATGAAAACAGGCTTTGGACAAGATTAGGTTCGAGTCCTTGACAGATAAGAGCAAGCTCGATGGCCAGCCTGATCTTTTCATTCACATCATTCCTGACAAGACTAACAACACCTTGACCATCATTGATAGTGGTGTCGGGATGACTAAGGCTGGTACGTACTTTGATTTCACTCTTTTGTTGTTTCTTAGGTGTTGCATCTCTGTGTTGGCTAATGCGTTTTTGTTGTATTGTACAGATTTGGTTAACAACCTTGGAACGATTGCTAGGTCTGGTACCAAGGAGTTCATGGAAGCATTGGCTGCTGGTGCTGATGTTAGCATGATTGGGCAGTTTGGTGTTGGTTTCTACTCGGCTTACTTGGTTGCTGACAAGGTTGTTGTTACTACCAAACACAATGACGATGAGCAGTATGTTTGGGAATCACAGGCTGGTGGGTCTTTCACTGTTACCAGAGACACCTCTGGTGAGCCTCTTGGTAGAGGTACCAAGATGACCCTTTACCTCAAGGAAGACCAAATGGAGTACATTGAGGAGCGCAGGCTTAAGGACTTGGTCAAGAAGCACTCTGAGTTCATCAGTTACCCTATCTCACTGTGGGTCGAGAAGACCATTGAGAAGGAGATCTCTGATGATGAAGAGGAGGAAGAGAAGAAGGATGAGGAAGGCAAGGTTGAGGAAGTAGATGAGGAGAAAGAAAAGGAGGAGAAGAAAAAGAAGAAGATTAAGGAGGTTTCTCATGAGTGGGATTTGGTTAACAAACAGAAGCCTATTTGGATGAGGAAGCCAGAGGAAATCAACAAGGAGGAGTACGCTGCTTTCTACAAGAGTCTGAGCAATGACTGGGAGGAGCATTTGGCTGTGAAGCATTTCTCTGTTGAAGGACAGCTTGAGTTCAAAGCTATCCTCTTTGTTCCCAAGAGAGCTCCTTTCGATCTCTTTGACACTAAGAAGAAGCCCAACAACATCAAGCTCTATGTCCGTCGTGTCTTCATCATGGACAACTGTGAAGACATCATTCCTGAGTACCTTGGATTTGTCAAGGGTATTGTCGACTCTGAAGATCTTCCTCTCAACATCTCCAGGGAAACGTTGCAGCAGAACAAGATCCTCAAGGTCATCCGCAAGAACCTTGTGAAGAAGTGCATTGAGCTCTTCTTTGAGATTGCTGAGAACAAGGAGGACTACAACAAGTTCTACGAGGCTTTCTCTAAGAACCTGAAGCTTGGTATCCACGAGGACTCACAAAACAGGACAAAGATCGCTGAGTTGCTCCGCTACCACTCAACCAAGAGCGGTGATGAGTTGACCAGTCTGAAGGACTATGTGACAAGGATGAAGGAAGGTCAGAACGATATCTTCTACATTACTGGTGAGAGCAAAAAGGCTGTTGAGAACTCTCCATTCCTCGAGAAGCTCAAGAAGAAGGGTTACGAAGTCCTCTACATGGTTGATGCGATTGATGAGTACTCTATTGGTCAGCTCAAGGAATTTGAGGGGAAGAAGCTTGTCTCTGCAACCAAGGAAGGTCTGAAACTGGAAGAGACTGAAGATGAGAAGAAGAAGAAAGAAGAGCTCAAGGAGAAGTTTGAGGGACTCTGCAAAGTGATCAAGGACGTTTTGGGAGACAAGGTGGAGAAGGTTATCGTGTCTGACCGTGTGGTTGACTCACCGTGCTGTCTTGTAACCGGTGAGTATGGGTGGACCGCTAACATGGAGAGGATCATGAAAGCACAAGCTTTGAGAGATAGCAGCATGGGTGGTTACATGTCGAGCAAGAAGACGATGGAGATTAACCCAGAGAACTCGATCATGGATGAGCTGAGAAAGAGAGCTGATGCTGACAAGAACGACAAGTCTGTGAAGGATCTAGTGCTTCTCCTCTTTGAGACCGCTCTTCTCACTTCAGGTTTCAGCCTCGATGAGCCCAACACATTTGGAAACAGAATCCACAGGATGTTGAAGCTTGGACTGAGCATCGACGAGGATGATGCCGTTGAAGCCGATGCTGAGATGCCTCCTCTTGAAGATGATGCTGATGCTGATGGTAGCAAGATGGAGGAAGTCGACTAAATATTGCACGTGATTGCAATTTAATTTTTCTATTTAGACTTTATTATCGGTTTCTTCTCTTCTTTATGATTTCGTCTTGAACTTCTTTTTGATAATCTTTTATGTTATTACATTTTCGGTGGTAGCTTTTTTCTAATCAACTCTGTTCTTGTGACGAGTTTATTGCGCAAACTCATTTTTTATCAGTGTTATTAGTTATTACTGTCCTAGTTGTGATATTAGCTTAAACACTTTGCCAAGCATTTCAGACTACAAACACTTGTTATAAAATAATAGAATCACAACCCTTCTACTTCAAAATAAGAGCAGTAGAATTCAAAATTTCCAATTCCATATTTATCTTTTAACAAGAAAATCAACATATAATTTATTTACATGTATTTGTACAAAAATCAATCAGTTTCAGTAGTAGTACAAACGAAAAAGAAACAGTCCCCAAAACGCTGCCGTTTTAATACGACGCTTCCTTCATCATCGGTTTGAAGTCTACCGATTTTTCTCAGCTCCGACGTAAAACCACCGATCGGTCAGTATTTGAGATTTCTGAAATCCCCTCGAAATATTTATTTCCTCAAGTAACTGAGACTGAAGAAGAATAACAAAAATGGAGAAATTGGCGAAAGAGTGGTTTTCGATGAGCGGCGGAGATCAGCCGCAGCCGCAGCAGCAGCAGCAGCAAACAGGAACGTCTCTGCTATCTGATTGGAATTCGTATGCAGCATCCAGAGATTTCGAAGAAGATACCGGAGGTCTTAGCTTCGATATCGAATCCGCCGTTAGATCTGCCAACGACACTGTTTCCGGCACCTTTAATGTGTAAGCCTAACATTTCCATTTTTTTTTTCTTCCATTTTAGCGATGGATTCTTCAGCTCGTTAGGTCTATATCGTCACCGTATCTGAAGCAATCAGGTGTTTTTTGTTATGTTTTTGAGGATTCTGACTTGTTAAATCTGGAATCTGGGAAATTGTGATTTACCATAGTGTCTTTAAGCTTTGCTAGATTTGTTGCTCAGTGTAACGCATTCTTAGGATTTGGAGCTATAGTTTGTGAACAGTTTTTGATTAGTGAAGAGTTTTTTAAGGTTTTATTTTTCTCTTCTCTCTTTGGCATCAAAGCACTTATCGTAGATCTTCTTTGTCCTTTATGTTCAGTGAACTTGCTTGTTGTAGACTTGAAGCTAATGGGTCTATGATGGACCTGTAAGATTGTTTTCTGTTATGTGCTATGCTTCTTTTCTGAGTTTCATATGCAAATACATGTTCATCTCTTCATTAGTGGGGTTGGAATGAGAAGATGATCCGTGACTTAAGAGTTGATTAAGAGTACTATCCTGCAAACTTGTTTCCAGTAATCTCCTTGTTTTCTTAACTCTTTTCTTGATTGTGCGATGCCTACTTTTTTCCTTTAACTTGTTGATTTTGTAACCTTATTGTACCCGAATCTGAACTGTTACCAGCTTTTCGAGAGGAGTTAGAGATAACCTGCAGTCTGCAACAAGCAGTATGCCTTCAGGAAAAGCTTTGATGTATTTCGGTTTACTTCTAGCAAGTGGCGTATTCTTCATCTTCATTGCCTTCACCATGTTTCTTCCAGTCATGGTGCTTATGCCACAGAAATTTGCTATTTGTTTTACCCTTGGATGTGGATTTATCATCGGATCATTCTTCGCCCTCCGTGGCCCAAAAAATCAACTAGCTCACATGTCATCACCAGAGGTAACAACAAGACCTAGTTAATTTTTCTGTCCCTTCTTATATCTGCTGTGTGTGCATTACTTACACAGTTATTTTCTTGTTTGCTGGCTTCTCCAGAGGCTTCCACTAACTTTAGGATTCATTGCCACCATGGTTGGTACCATTTATGTCTCGATGGTTCTCCATAGCTACATTCTCTCTGTGATTTTCTCTGCGTTACAGGTACTTGTTTCCATTGTCCTTCTCCACTCGCTACCACTTTCTACATCCTCTGTTTCTCATTGCCAAAAAATTCCGTTTTACTATTTCAAAAATCTGACTTGTGAAGTTCTTTAGACCCTTGATACCTTAAATGAGAAATTTCCAATTAGTAAGTTTATACCTGGGAAACATAATGGGTTTAGCAACAAACATTTAGACTTCTCTTAAAGCTGTTTCTAAATACAAGTAGGGTTAGTATGAAGAAACTGGTCATATATCAGGTTGTTTTGCATATTTACTTGTGATAGAAACAGCTTTGTTTTTGTTATTATTCACCAAATATCGATCTGGATTGCACCAAATATATATGATTATATGCACATTTGATAAGTATAGTAATCTCCTTCATGTTGATATAAAGATTACTCGCCTCGCCTATATGCACGTTCTATAAGTATAGTCATCTCCTTCATGTGGTAAAGGTTTCTTGCATATATGCTCATTCTATAAATATAGTAACCTCATAATAAACGCTTGTATTTGTTCTCTGTGAATTCATAGGTTATTGCACTGGCTTACTACTGTATATCCTACTTCCCTGGTGGATCATCGGGAATGAAGTTCCTCACTTCTACTCTTACCTCCTCTGTCTTCAGAATGTTTGGGAGATAAGCTTTTTGCCTCTGACTTATCCGAAGAAAATAACTTGTTTCTCTGGTGTGTAATGATGAAAAATCTGTTAACAGTGGTTAAAATGACAAATCTGGTAATATATGTTGGTGCAAAGGCTCAAAAGACAAAGTTTTGTTATGACATTTTGATTTTGATTTTTTTCTACCAAACTGGTTCGAATCACCAGCTGGAACTTGAAGAGTGGTCTTGATTTTTACTTTCTTCAAGGTTACGAGTTAGCTTCAGTTTTTTTTTTTTTTTTTTTTTGGCTGTGAATTATTGCATCAAATTAAGGAAGAAACAACATGTAGTAGACTGAATTGTTCTCTTATTTACAATTTTCAAGAAGCAAGTGTACAAATATATATATCGCTTTTTCTTAGCATCATGGCTTGTTAAGTGAAACTATAAGTAAGCGAAGAATAGAGAAAATGCTAGTTTTCGAAATTTCAATAGCTATTCAAGTTTCTACAGTTGAAACTTGAAACTCAAGCTCTGCTCGATTTGAAGATGAAGATACGTGCAGTGGCATACATCTTGATCTCTTGTTGTAAAGTTTGTAGCTAGTAAAGTGCAAACAAATGATAAATGATATATCTAATTAGCTGGGCCCAAAAAGGTCCGGTACTGAATAAGATGGGCCTTTAATAGGACCCCATCAGTCAAAAAGACTCGGAGACTGGCTTTGAACTTTTGGATACAAAAAATCACACCAATAATGCAAAAGATTAGAGATCATAATTTTTATTAATGTAATCAAAAACTAAATTAAGGGAAACCATCACCCCCGCAAAATTGACCGTTAGTGGAGAAATATAATACAAAAACACCACGAACTTGGCATTAGTGCAAGTGAAAGACTCTTTAATTTTCTCTTTTTGTTAAAAAGCAAAGGCTATTTAGGTTAAAAAACAAGGGAGGGAGCCTATTATTGCTTAACATATTCACTAATCACATTTTATGTATTTCCTTTTTGTTTTTGGTTTGGCACCTTCCTATTGCCTTAACAAATTGTTATTGTTTAGGTCTTGTTTAATTTTACCATCAATTTCAGTTAATGTGTTTAGAGTTAGCTAAGTAAATCTTTCGGGAGGACAAAGCATCATATACGTAAAACTACATAACCATGCATATGTTTTCAATTTCTTAAAAGTTTAGACTTATCAATGTTATGGTGTATTATCATTCTAGAATCTAGATGTTTTAAAATATATACAACTGATAGTCTGATATACACAATTAAGGATGTGTTACATTATACTTTATATTTTGATTTTATTAGTGGATTAGTAGTATGTTTTAGACTTTAAAGAGTTTATTTTAATTGTGAGCGAGAAACCCAAGTCCTGGAAATACGGGAAAGGAATATTTGACTCTTTTAATTTTACACCTTTCATCACACGTAATATCCATTTTTATAATATGATCTATAAAACACCAAAGGCCCATTAATCTCATCAAATTAATTATTTTATTTATAGAAAACAAAGAGGTTAATTAATTGATCGCAATTTCGCAACTTACCCACTAAGCAATGTTTTTGGTTTTCAAGACACATCAAGTTAGTGTTATGTTATTTTTTATCTTTCTATAAACATCACTTTCCTTTTATTAATTGTTATCTATTTCGTATTCTGTGAAAAGTGGTATGCAAAAGGTAAAAAAGGATAACACAAAGGAAATTTTTTAAAAGGCTGGCTGGTTCTCTCTCTCGGTGAGAATTTTTCATCGTTACGCAATCACTTGAATAAAAAATTCATAATTATTGTAAAAAAAAAAGATTAGAATGATCGTAAAAAAGAAAAGAGATTATAAACAACATGAAGCGGAAAGGAGCAAAGTAAAGCTGAAAATCCAATTAACAAGATTACGGAAAGAGATTAAAGGACGAAGAAAAAGAGTGAAAGGTAGTGAATAGTGAATACACAAATATTATTATATATATGTTTCCAAAACATATTTGTTGACCAAAAAAAAGTATAAATTGTTGAGTTTCTATTTTATTGTTAGAACTTGACAGTAACAAAGTTACAGAAAACTACAAATCAGCTGTCAGATTATTAAGCTAAAAGTTAGGCTTAATTACTGGATTAATTTCATGAAAAATTGAGTATCAACTGGATTATGCGATTTATTTTTCATATATTATAGAATAGTCGATCTCATTGATATATAGGTAAAGTTGTTGATAATCTTGTCAAAAATAGTTGCAAAAGTTATAGATTATTTTGATGTCTATAGAGAATGTAAAATATAGAGTACTTGAGAGCTAGTTAAACAACATCAATGAAAATGAAGTAAGAAAATAATAAGAAAAGTTGTTACTAGTTTCGATCTACTAATACTTAAGATTTAGGCTCTGAAATAATTGGAGGAGTAGAAAAGGTTATCAGGCAACGAAGAAGAAGGGCTAAAGGTAGTGTTGTTGAGTGCGCAAATCCTTAGGTAGAAGGGAATGAGAGAGCACGTGTGGTTGTTGTCATCACAAGAAGAAAAAAAGGTCACTATTATGATTTCCCTCTTTAAAGAAAGCCATATCTCGTTATCATTGTCCCCATCTCAATTTCACAATACCTACAAACACATATAATGTCTACTGTCTACTTACACACATTCATGCATATATCTCTCACTTTTTCTTTCTTTCTCTCTATGCATACACTTATATACTTTCTTAATTCTATTATACAACAACAAACTATATATAATAGGGTTCGCACTTTGATATATATGGAGATGTCCCAAATTAAACTATCTATATCTCATCCTATATACGTTGATATGGCTTAGTTACTTCTCTCATGTTTGAATCATTCCATGCATGGCTGATCTGATCATCATCTTTCTCGTGTTTAGTTTAACTTGATGCATGATACAAGCATGCGAGGATTCCATTCTTGGAAAAGATCACTCGCATCATTCGAGCCTGACTCGACCCTCGGGGAACATGAACACCTGTTAATTCGAACAAACTGATTGACAATGGCATGAACATATATCTTGTTCATAGTACTATATCTTAATTAGCTATATAATTATAACCTCCGCAAAACTTCGTTTGTAACTTTATTATTTAGTAGTATTACTCAGACAAAGTTTTTATTGACTATGTCGAAAATGTCACGACAATAGAACGAAAAAAAAAATTAAAATAATTAGCCTTGTATAGTTTTCAAAAAATTTATGATTTTTGTAAATTGTAATCCATAAGATTACCAAATTAAATATGGTTCTCAAATGACTTTTATTTTTTTTAATATTGTAGATAGTATTTATTCAAATATAAAAGATAGAACATTATCTTAGAGATATTTTTTTGCATTGTTATTTTATGGATTGGTTGGTTGTGCAAATTATATTTATATTGTCAGCAATGGTTTTCTTACTACAGTGTCTTAGTAGATCGTAGTCGTCTGAGAGTGGTTACAACCAATGGAATTTTATCAACATGACCACTCATAAGACGTAGCATTATCATTGATCAACCATCATATATATATATATATATTTGTTATATATATTCATTGGATCGACAAATCAAACAAATAAACAAAGTAGTTTTGATCGATGCCCACTTCTTTTCACACTTCTGTACTTCTGCCACTACATTCTTGGACTGCTTCTGCTACTAAAATACCCCACAATGGACCAGTTCCTTTATTTCTTTTTTTAATTGAATATATCAAATTGATAACAGACAAATAATTTGTGTATTAAATTATATATAAAAAAACTAAGTAAAAAAAAATTGCACATCGTAGTCCTCGATCAGATCACACACTTTGATAAATCTATAACACTTCACTTATTAGTGCTGATGTATCCACTAAATTAAACAAGCTTAACTGGATCCAAGATCCCAAATGAGTTGATAAAACATTCCATACAAATATCGGCTTTGAAACCTAAAAGGAGTTAAACCAAATAATTTTGCATTTTCAAAACGTTTATGAGATTGTCATACCGTGTTCTCACTAGCTATTATATATGTAAGTGACATCTTCAAATGATGTCTATCTCCAAAACACAATGTTGAATTATAATTTGTATTTTCTTTTTGTAATTATTCTTTTTTATTATATGGAAAATTAAACTAATATTTATCCTAAGTTAAATATATATCATATACGTAGGTGTATTATCTATTATCATCATGTGGGTGAAACGTGACATAGATCCAGATCTTGTTCAATTGTCGTAATCAAGTCTACATCTTTTAATTTATCTTAATTGCTATCATCACTACTATATATTAACTTTGTTAAAAGTAATAAAAACAATCACATTTCATTATCATAAAAACCATCACCCTTCATCGCATGCATGTGAAAGTTTTGAGATGAATCGCTTTCGATTCAGAAACCTAATTAGTAAAACTAAAAAAGATGTCAATTTAGACTCAAGTGACCATGCATGCATGTATAGTTTGGAAGCTACTTAGTCATAACAGTCCTGAATTGTCTAAATGATTCGAAAATAATGATAGATGCGATAGACAAAAGAACAATATGGACCATTTAATGATAATCATATAAGATTTGAGAAAGAAATATATAAAACTTTTCACAAATTTTGGAAAAAAATACAGTTGGGTGCTTGTCTTTTCTCTTGCATCTTTTGCTGTCTCTTTACTTCCTTCTTGTTTGTTGGTTTTTGGTTTTTGTTCTTATTATTTCTTTCCTCTTTTATGGACCATATTCGTTTAACTCTTCCCACACATGTATGTAATTCGTCTCTTACTTATATATCTTTATTTATTTTGAAAACTACAACAATATGAGTTATAAACCAAAGAACAAAAAAAAAAAAAGTTATATATCAAGGATTGTCAAAACCTTTGGAGCAGATTCCAAATGATCAAAGTACATACGGCGAAATCGAATTCGAAATGTTTGGTCTTAAAGTTGATCAGGTCAGTGTACTTACCACCGCGCCAGTGCACCTGTGCACACTTTACTCACTACTCAGTACTCACTAGTAGTCAAGTTTGATTACTTTTAGACTACATCCCCACTAGTATATATATGCCTATGATTTTGTATGTACATTTTATAAAAATGTAATAATTAGACTCCAAGAGACATACTTGTTTACTTGTTACCATTAATTAATGCATTTGTAACTCTTAAGAATATATGTTGTCTATAACGTAAAACCAAAAATTACATATTACGAAACGCATATCATGATTGATAGTTAGTATAACCATCTTTTCAAGTGTAATTTACGGTAATTAGAGTACACACTATACCATAATTAATTGCCTGCAGAATAAAACCATGTTGTTGAAATGCTTTCTCTGATCATCACTTT